CCCCAAAACCCCAAAATCCCAAAACCCCAAAACCCCAAAACCCCAAAACCCCAAAACCCCAACTTACAGCCCCATTTGCTAATTATATATCACTCATTATAAAAATCACGTTTTGGAGATTCCTACTCTGACCAGTAAACAGGTGCACATAGGTTGCATAACGCTACATTGAAGCTTTGGATGATTCCAGAGAGCCACAATATACACAACAATAGCTTCGTTTATACCTAGGCTGGTGAAAGAGCTGATCTAATTGTACTCAGAAGTTATTAATACCTCATGTATGAGATTATATTCCAAAAATAGCACAAACTGGTGTATTGTAGTTTAGTACTTTCTGATCCATGCTTATTCAGAAAACCAAATTGGCAATAAAATCTCTAGTGTTCTAAGCCAAAATTGTTGGATTTCCTTTCTGAGTCATACTAATAGACAGGGATTGATCCATGAGAGACAGATGATTATCAATCTAGCTAGATGAGCTTAATTTTGAGTAATTTTAGTAATTTATTAGACATATCCAAACTCCTAAAACATTGAGAGGATACTATGCTTTGGTGAATGGACTAATCTTTGAGACATGGATCAGGCGAGAAGAAGACCTCTCGCCATTAATCTATATCTATTGAAATTCTGGGAATCTAGATGCTCTCTGATTCAGAGCATGACTCGTATTCTTCATCCATGGCCTTGCACTGATTTTGCCTTCTTTCCCAAAGAGAGGAAACCTTGGGTCTCATATAAAACTTCTTTCTGGATTGGATACTGCTAGCTCCATTTCCGAGGAACTTTACTTTGTTCTCTTGAGTAACAACGGTGGACTTCATAATTGATGAAAAATCCACCCTCGTAATATTCATAGTGTCAAGAAATTTCTCAATTTGATTATATTTCGAGCAACTTTGAGAATAGTTATGCTATAGTAGAAATGATTAGTTTTGGGGCAAATAATTGATCGAAGTCCATCCACCAAATTTAGAGATCAAATACTTGTTTCTAGAAGGACACATTTTGGTACCTTTTGCATGAATTGTGCAACATTATTGCATAAAATATTACAACTTAGCTAGGTGGAAAGCATATGAGAGGTAATGCCAAGAAACTGGGCTGGCATGCCTTCAAGTGTAATTTTACGAGTAGAGAGAATATGGCTGCTCCAACTTTGAGAAATTTTTTGCAAATATAAATATATAGGTCAGGCTAGTTTCATGAATCTGTGCTGATAACAGATATTAGATCAATCCAGATCTATCATATCTTGCAAGAATCTTGAGCTAGCCAAGCCCCATACATGTATATTTAGCCAAAATTTTTCAGATTCCTTCTTTGGAGACAAATGGCCTTACTAGGAATCTCCAGGTAGCAGAAAAATTCAAGCGAGAAATTGAGAGTCTAAAGAAATTAATAAAATGCAGCTTGCTAGCGTATAAATCACACAAACCATTAACAAATTATTCAACCTGAAATTATCCTTAAATCCCTCCCTACAAATTGACAGCATCGATGACCTTCAGCAAGCATTACAAGAACACTACTTACAGAACAAGTATAATCCCCAAGTACTTCCATTGATGAACCCCCCATAGAACTTCTAGTGCTGACATCAATACTTATATTATCCGTTCCAGATGCCTTACTCCACAGTGACATTGTCTCCTTATATTTCCTCCTTGGAGCCTTAAAATCTCCCTTGGAAGTACTCCTCTCAGTCTTAAAGTCTTCACAAATAACTTGGTTGACAAGTTTAGACATTTATTTTGAGAATAGGAAAATATTATTAGTTTGTCAAAAATGGGATAGGGATTTGGGGTTTTGGGGTTTTGGGGTTTTGGGGTTTTGGGG